TCACGAACAACGAGCCAAATTGACAGCCCTAATTCTAATATGCAATTTGAGGATGTATCTATTTTTATGCTCTATAAATTTATTAAACTCAAATTAACAAGAAATAGTATGTCAATGATTTATATTTAAGTTATTAAGATTTAGTAAATTCTTTAAATTTGGATTTAGTAAATCCTGGCAGGGCTAAAACTCAAACACTGTTTGGTAACTAATTTAGTAAATCTAATTAAATCATATGAAACTGTTATAAACTTTGCATAGTTTAAAAATTTGTTAAGTTTGTTATAATAAGAAATTAGAATTAATTTTGATTATTTTATTATTGGGGTTTTTAAGTATCAATCGCCCTAAACGTCAATTATAACGTATTGACTACCCCAACTTAAAACTTTGCATTTCAACCTTAAAATTTTAAGTTGGGCAGTTAAAACATTATAATTAATGTTTTGGATGGTTGATATGTAAAACACCTTTTATTGTTATGATAAAATTAAATTATTATATTTAATTTAAATTTTTATTATACTAATTAATAATCAATAATTCGCTAAAGTTATTAAATTTTAAAGAGTTTTGTTAAATTAATTTCTTTTTAAGCTATTAATTAACATTAATGGATTATTAATTTATTAGTTATTAATTATATTAATTAAAAAATGTAATTTATATTGATTTACTATTAAATAATTTAAATTTAAAATGTATTTTAAATTAAACAATTATTAAATAATTAAATATAAATTTTTTAATCATAGTTAAATTGATAATATATTAATTAAAATTAAATATTAATCAATCAAAATCATAAAATTAACTGAAATTAAATTAAATTAAATTAAATTAACAATACAATCTCCCGATTCTCTCCCTTCCCCCTCCTGGCCTCGCCTGCGTCCCCAGTCCCTAAACCCTAGCGATTCAGTCTCAATTGGAGCTAACTGAGAAGGCAACAGCGGGATCGCGGTGTACGGAGACCCAAAACTCCCATGTTTTTTCTCCTTCGGCACTGCTCCTACCCGAAACAATGGAGGCAGATGGAGGAAGGTAAATTCATGTCTTCCTTTTCGCGCGAATCGCCCGTTCCGAATTTACTAAATCCGCCGATTCACAGCCCTATTGCGACCGCCTCCACCCGCATCGTCAAGGTCTATCGCGGGTACGCGCCGCCAAACTTCTGACGCCTGACGCTCGACACAGAGTGGCTGAGCTTGGTTTTAGGCGGAGGAGGTGAACGTCACCGTGAGTGTATGTGTTATGACATTGAACGGAGACCGGGAAACCGCAGGCTAGTTTGGCGAGCGCTTGGCGTGACGAGGTCGACGCCGAACGGGGAACGGGAGGCCAGATGCCGAATGGTTGAGCGGAGTGCCGCCTGGTCGGCGTCGAAGGTTTGAAGGCTCAGATTCATGATTTAGCACCTTTGAACAGCCGGTGTGCCTTCCTTCCTCATCTCCTCTTTTCCATTTATCATTTCTATCAAACTTTCTTACTTGGTATAGAAAACAATGAAAACTTCTGCAGGAAGGGTTTGATCGGAAAAGATTTACCTTTCCATTTCTAGTATTCCGGAACCTAAAAACCCTAAACCCTATTGTTTAAGTTAAATTATGCATAATTTATATGAAGCGTTAACGTTACTATGATTAAATATAGATTTATGAGAATATACTTGTGAAATGATTATGTACCATTTTCAACACCAGAATTTGAGGGAGAAACTGTATTGGGATTGAGATGAACATTTTGTGTGATAATCATTCCATTAGTTTGTAATTGAAATGGCTTGAAATCTAGTTTCAATTGTCTTGTTTGTTATGATTATTTTATACCAGTTCCCATAAAAAGTTTGATTAAGTATATTAATTTTTTTGCTTTACTCCTTGAATAATCTTCAGAAACTTTTGTTGGAACATGTTTTTTCAAATTCTATGCAGAATTGCCAGTTACTTCTAGGTGATGGCGATCAGATGTTTTTTAAGTGTTACAGGCATGAGTAATGGAATCGCAAAAGGCCTTCCAAGTCAGTTTCCTTTCACAACTGAAGTTGTTGATGCATTATTAGGATGCCATTTCAACTCCTCACAAAGGAGATTGATGAGCAAAAGCAGGAGGGTTCAGGACAGAAGTAAGAATAAAAGGATTCATGACCTAGAAATTGCTACAGAAAGGTGGAAGGTAGCATCAAAGATTTTGTTTATTATGGATGTAATAAAGAAAGAACCGGAACAAATCATTCCTTTGAAGAACTTAGAACAATTCAGACAACAGATAAATCTTAGCAAACCTCATAGGGTTTGTGATTTTGTTCGAAAATCTCCAAAACTCTTTGACTTATATAAGGATTATAGGGGAGTTGTGTGGTGTGGATTTGCAAAGCAATTGGAAAACCTTGTTGAAGAAGAAGGTCGGCTCATTGAAGAGAACACGGAGACAGCAGTCGAGCACATTACGAGACTGTTGATGATGTCTTTGGAAAAAAGGCTTCTTTTAGATAAAATTGCTCATTTTAGAAGAGATTTTGGATTTCCTTTTGATTTTCGAAAAAATTGGATTCATATGTTCCCTGAACATTTCAAAGTTGTAAAAATTGATGGTTTAGAGTATTTAGAATTGAATTCGTGGAATCCTTCTTGGGCAATTACAGAGCTCGAAAAGAAGGCCTTGCCAGAAAACTTGTCTGTGTTGCCATCACCAGGAATTCTTTGCCTTCCTTTCCCAATGAAATTCCCTCCCAATTTTAAGAAGGTTTTTAGAATTGGAGGAAAAATTGAGCATTTTCAGAAAAGACCATACCTTTCTCCATATTCTGATCCCAATGGCCTTATTCCTGGGTCACAAGAATTTAATAAAAGGGCAGTTGCAGTAATGCATGAGATTTTGAGCTTCACCATTGAGAAAAGACTTGTAACCGATCACCTCACACATTTCAGGTGGGAATTTGTGATGCCCCAAAAATTGATGAGGCTTCTCTTGAAGCACTTTGGGATCTTTTACGTTTCTGAAAGGGGGAAAAGGTTCAGCGTATTTTTGACCGAAGCTTACGAAGGTTCGCAGTTGATCCGGCAATCTCCTCTTGCTCTTTGGAAAGAAAAGATTGTGAGTCTGACTGGATACAGAGGGAGGAAGAGGGGAGTGAAAAATTTTGATGAATCTCTTGATTATGATGAAGGTGATTTGTTTGATGGGGAACTTGATGATCAAGACACCTTTTCTAATTTTGAAGATGAGGAAAGCTTAGATACCATCAAGGAGCCTGGTCTTGTGGATGATTCTGAGATGGATGTGAGAGATTTGTATGATACATATGGGGTCTCCTAATCTATTTTAGATTGGTGGTCCTTGTTTGTTACTCTTTTTCTCTTTGATTATTAAATATCCTGTTTTGGTGATGCATTTTTTGCATATTTTTTTTGTGAATTTTAGATACATAAACACACAGTTTTTTTCTTTTTTTTGCTGAGATTGATTTGAGCTGTGATGATTTTCATCCACATATTAAAATTCAACCGTATTTTGAATATTTAAAATTTGAAGGAATTTTAATATTTCTTTGCAGGTAAGTTTTGAGCTTTTTTTGCTTGATCCATTAGAAACTGATTGTTTTGGTTTTGTTATTGTTGTTAGAGACAGATATTTTCTTCGGGTTTCTAAGTGTCTCATTTTTATAAGTTGTACCAGTTTTTGGGGCATTTACATACATGCCATGCAATTTTTATGAATTTACCTATATCTAACAGCTAAACATTTGTATTTGCATGCATAATTCTCAAATCTTTAACATCTTATTAAAAATATTACCATCACTGCGTTATGCATAGCTTTAGTGTTTTATGACACCAAGGTGTTGTATCAAATTTTAGGTGTTTGATATGTAAATACAAAAGATTGTGGTAGTATGAATGTAAATTTCCCCAGTTTTTTTTTTTTTTTGTTTAATTTTCTGTACATGCTTAAATTATTTTAGAAGATTTACCTACAAGGCTACAATCATGCCACTCAATTCCTATGTATTTACATATTTAACACCAGTTTTTCAACTTTTAGATGCCAGCAGTCTTATCACTGCATGAAATTGTGAATTTTACTTTGTTTTTTAAGTTAAAATGATGATATTTTTTAGGTGATATGAAGCATTTGGGTGGTATAAATGTAAAAGCAAAAATTTTCAGGATGATTATAGTCATCTCTCAGGAAATTGATATGCAGCCGATAATTTGATTGAAATTTAAAAATTGTTAGTATTTTTTGTGATCTTCACTGACATCTAAGACACTTTGGAAGGAACGATTTTCTGTCCGGACTCCTGACGTAGCTCTAGGTACGGCGAAGGTTATTCCTTAATTATTTTCAGGTTATTTATGGGCTATTTTTAATAATTTTTGAAATAACCCAAAAATAATCCAAAAATAAAGATCGGAGGTTATTTCTGGGGTATTTCAGGATTATTGAAAATAACCTAGAAATAATTTGACTCAAGAATAACCTCCACGGAACGTAAAGCTATATCAGGAGTTCGCACAGAAAAATTAGGCCTTTGGAAGGGGTTCAAGAAAAAAAATCAATGAATTTTTATTTTTATTTTTGCTTTGGGTTAATATTCTTCATTTTATTTCTAACCAATATTCTACGTGTTATTTAAATGAAAAATTTAGAGGGATACAGCTCATTTTGTATTTATTTACATATCTAACACTTTTATTTTTATAAATATGTCATCGTATTTATACTTAAAAAGATGTATTTCACTAATCACAAGTTAAAATAATGGTGTATTTGTGTGATACTAATGATTGGGTGATATAAATATAAAAATAAAGTTTAAATTTTAGATTTATAAATACATAAGAATTAAGTGGTATTGTCGGTACAGGGGTGTAAACGAACCGAACAAGAACGAACAAAGCTTGTGTTCGTGTTCGGTTCGTTTGAAATTTAGTTTGTTTGAAATAAACTCGTGTTCGAAATTATTCGTGAAGTCACTGTTCGTGTTCGTTTCTTAACAACGAGCCGAACACGAGCTGTTCGAAAACGACGAGCCAGTTTGACATCCCTAATATTAATATATAGAAATAATGTATTATATTAATTATATAACTTATATTATATAAATATATAATATCTATATTAATATATTACTAATATAGTATATGAATATAGTATTATTATTAATTTATTATATATTATAATTAATAAAATTTAATTTTTTAAAATATCATAAATTTTTTATATATAATTATTTTAAATTGTTTTATATTTCGAACAATAACGATTCGAACACGAACGAGCACATCACTGTTCGTGTTTGGTTCGTTTAACTAACCGAACGAAAAAAATCTGTTTGACGTTAGTCTCGTTTACTTGTCGAACGAATTAAACACGAACTCATCAACGAACCAAACATGAACTGTTCGCAAACAATGATTTTTTTGACAGCCCTAGTTCGGTAGATGCCCCAATCAAATTTAGATATTTAATATATTAATAAGAATTATTCATTAGTATAAAATGTTTAAATTAATGGATATTCATTGATTAGAATATGAGCTTCAATAGGACAATAAAGAGGTGATAATCAGTGATTATATAATTAGAATAGCAAGCATGTTACATTTTTTTTTAATTCGAGATTTAAATTATATATTTTATTCTCACTTCATTTAAAAAAGATAGATCTATTTACAAAATGATAATCCTTCTTATCTTTTTTTTTTTAAATTTATCACTCTATTATAAAATTTTACATTTTCGTTTGGGGCAATTTATAAGTGTTGGCGGCGTTTTCAAAACGCCGTCATACCATTTGGTTCAAGCGTTTCGTCAGCTTATTCGGAACCGCGTTTGAGTTTTTACACTAAAGCATACAGCAGGTCAAGCCTCACAACCCTCCCAACGCACCGTAAAAAACTCCAACACACATTTTATTATTTTTTTCAAATTTTTAATAATTTGATAACGGAATGTATAAATATATTGATTTGTTAATCTAAAACAATGGTCTAAAAATAAGGATTACATCTATGTCATTCATAATATTATTATTTATGTAATTATTATTTACAAAATTTCAGCCATCCTCACCTCCAGAATCCTCTTTAGATTTTCTAGAACCATCTCCGCTCGCGTTGGACAAATGCCTCTTTGGCCCCCAGATCACGTTAAGCTCCACCAACAACCAGAGATCGTTAAGCGGAGGCTTTAATTCACCGAGCATCTTTCGACAGACCGGATAGCAACCGACCTCTGGAGGACCATTGGAACATCTAGCGCCTCGATAAATCTCAGTAGTGTCCTCGGAGCTGCGAGTAGCAAAGATTTATTTGCTAGGGTTTTTCTCCCTTTCTTATATTTCTGTACTCCGCGGGCTTATCTTCTTTCTTGTTACGCTGAAGGGAGTGAGTTGCAGGAGATTTTTGAAGGAAAAATCTTAACCTATTTTCCGTCAAGGTATTTTTTAATGCTTTTGATGTTCAATTGCAGCGGTTTTCTTTGTCGTTTCAGCTTATTTTATTCCACTCTTCTTATGTTCGTAAGTTTGTTTGGTGTGTTTTTATGGTTCTATTATGTTCTTTGTGAACAGAATCACCGACTTATTTTATGCGTGATGTCAGTAGCTTGCTTCATCTTTGTGGACAGCTAGTGTCTGTGAATTTAACGAAATATAGTTTTACTTACATTGTTCATTGTGTATTTCGGAGTAGACTGTAGAACCAGTGGATTATCCTGCCCTTGGCTGTTTGGCAAACGTTTCCTTCGTTTGCTAGAGGTTACACCTATTTTGCGGGTAATATGTTTTTTGATGTTTTCAGTTTGCAGCATCAATGGCTTCCATTCACGTAGCTGGGTGTGGATTAGCTGGTAGGAGGAGCCTCCCGTGTTTTGATGGCCTCCGCTTCTCACAACCTGCATTTGGTGGTTCTTTGTCAGTAGGAGCTAGTGGAGCTATTGTTGATAGGAGGTGCTTTCGGGGTCTTGTTATTAAGGCTGCTACTGTGGTTGCTCCAAAGGTAAACATGTAGGCAGTGGATGATTAATACGCTAGTAATGTTCATGGATATAGCTGATATGCTCAAGGTAATTTTCTGCTTGTGATAGTACACTTCAATTAAGCCATTGGGGGAAAGGGTTTTGGTTAAGATCAAGACTTCTGATGAAAAGACTACGGGAGGCATTTTACTGCCTACTACTGCGCAGACAAAGCCGCAGGGAGGCGAGGTTGTTGCTGTTGGTGACGGAAAAACCATTGGAAAGAAGAAGGTAGACATTAGTCTGAAGGTAATGCTAATTCCTTTTGCTTTTGACTAACAATTATTGTATGGCATGAAAAGTATCTGATCAAGATTTTCTTTTCATTTGAATGATTATGGCATCTGATGATCAAAACTTTATTTTATTTAGGTGATTGTGGTATACGAGTTTTAACTTGTTCTACTTTTGATATGATTTATGACATTCTTTGCACTTCATGAAATTTATTGTAACTAAAGTGATTTCTATTTGATATGGCTTACAACATCCCCTGTGCTTTTGGAATTTTGTTTTAAATAAAGTGAATTCTAGTATATTTAGGTTAATCTAGCTTGAGGTTTAACTTATTTTACTTGTGATTTGATTTACGGAATCCTATGTGCTATTGCAGTTCTTTATTTAGTCAATTATATACTTACGTGTAACTTGTGGCTTGTTGAGATTTTGAGAGAAAATAAAATTTATGTTTTTAGGGAAAGTAACGAGCCAATCGTTGTGTTTATTTTCGATGAAGAGAGTATATTACATAATATTAGTTGTATTAAAGATAAAATATCCTCATTATTAATTTTCTAATTTGGTACTACAGCACTCCCTTTCAAGTTCATTTGAACTTATGATGATGATGATGATATTGATTCTTTGGATGGCTAATTAAATTTCTTATGAAAACATTCTTAAAAAAATCTATGCTTTTGAATTTTAAACAACTGAGGTAATGCTTGTTAAGCATTTGAAATTAAGTATTATTTTTGCTATTTTTCTTATCATATTGTATCTTTTCATTCAAGAATGTTTCATATTTAACTTTATATGTTCATTTTTTTAAAATATTTTGCGCAATGTTTAAAATGGTGCGTCCCGTAATACATGATACATTGTGCACTAAATTATGAGAATTGATTTTTTTTTTTAAATTTGTGAATGATATCTTTGATAAAATGATAGTGTATTTAAATTTGCACTGTTATTTTGTTGGCGATATGAATGGTTTCATTATGACACTTATAAATTATAATTTGGGTAATAAGAAGTTAAAAATGTTTTGATGTGATTTTTTTTAATCCATAGAATTTCACAGGTGGAAAGTGTGATTTCTTGTTTTAATTTTCTTCACTTTGATTTAGAAATAATAATATTCTATTTGTTTCATGAAATAGGATTTTCTCTGCAAAAAAAATATAATATTATAAAGTGGTCTTTTGATTTCATTTGATCTAACATAGCATCACTATAGTTTTCAACATATGAGTGGTTGTGCTTTGGTTACACTAGTACTGTTGTGGGAATTTTTTTAAGCATTTGTTCTAACATTGTATCATTATGGGGATGAAAATTTTTAAGTGAGAGATAGGAATGTAAGTTGCTCAACCAAGTGATGACAACGAATAATACAACAACAAAAACAAGCCTTTATCCCACTAAGTGGGGTCGGCTGCATCAATCCTTTTTCTCCATTGGATCGTATTGAGTGTCATATTTTCATTTAATTCAAATATATTAAGGTTGTTTTTTATACAATATGCCCGTCATTTTTTATACAATATGCCCAAGTCTTTGAAGGTTTGATTCTACCTTTCTTAACATAAGTCGAATCTAAATCATCTACTCTCCTAACCGGATCATCGGATTGTCGTTGTTTAATATGACCAAACCATCTAAAATGACTCTCTCTAATTTTGTCCAATATTGGAGCTTCATCAACCCTATCACGGATGTATTCATTTCACATTTTGTCTCTAAGTGTAAAGCCACTCATCTACCTAAGCATTCTCATCTCAACAACACTTAACAACATTCAACACAATAGAGCATTGCAGGTCTCACCACCGCCTTACAAAATTTTTCTTTTAATTTAAACGGTACTTTTCTATCACACAATAGGTTCAAAGCATTTCTCCGCTTCAACCAACTAACTTGAATTCTACTAATAACATCTCCATCTATATGACCATCACTTTGAACAGTAGACCCATGATATCTTAAGCGTTCATACTCTTTTATAAATTGATCATCCATAGTTACAACTTTGTTATTAGAGCTACTACTACTAAAATTACATTCCTTGTATTCAATTTTATTTCTACTTAAACGAAGGCCTTTAGACTCAAGTTTTTCCTGATCAATATTGACCCCCATAATTCAAGTTTTTTCTAAGATTTTTCTCTATCGACAATACGAATATCATCATCGAAAAGCATACACCAAGGTACATCTTCCTGTAAATGTCAAGTAAGATCATCCATAACTAAAAAGCAAAAAGATATGGGTTTAAAACCAATCCTTGTTGTAATCCAATTGTAATAGGAAAATATTTGATCAATCCTCCTCTTTTGAATACAAGTAATAGCTCTAGTATATGTCTTTACTAACTTGAATATAAGTCATATCAGCATCTTTTTTTTCTAGAACTCCCCAAAGGATATTTTTTGAAGCATTATCGTAAGCTTTTTCTAAATCCATAAAAAATCATATGTAGATCCTTCTTATTCTCTCTGTACTTTTTCATCAAACCTCTCAGTAATTGAGTAGCTTTCATGGTAGACATGCTCTACCTAAATCCAAACTGATTATGAGAAATCTTTGTAATATTTCTTAGCCTATGTTCAATTACTCTCTCCCATAATTTTAAAGTATCATACATCGATTTAATTCCTTTATAATTTGCACACTCTTGTGCATCTCCTTTATTCTTAAAAGTGGGGACCAAAATACTCGTGGGGACCAAAATACTCTTGGGGACCAAAATACTCTTCCTCCATTGCTTAGCCATCTTTTTATTTTTTAAAATAATATTAAAGAGTTTAGTAAGTCAAGAAGCTCCCCAATCTTCTAAATAGTTACACACTTCAATTGGAATATTATCAGGTCCTACAGACTTTACACCCTTTATTTTCTTTAAAACATTCTTAACTTCTTTTCAACTAATGTGACGATAAAAATGAAACATTTTATTATTATTAAGAATTTTAAGATCACTATGGTCGATCATATTTTCAGAAACTTCTTTGAAAATTTTATTAAAATTACTCATCCACCTATGTTGAAATTTTTTTCTAAGGAAATCTTTTTTCGATTTTCATCTTTAATATAATTTACTTGAGTTAAATCTTTACTTTTCTCTTTGTTTAACTAGTTTATACATTTATTTTTCATCATATTTAGTATATAATCTACTATAAAGATTACTAAAAGTAGAATTTTAGCGTCACAGATTGTTCTCTTAGACTCCCTATGTACTATTTTATATTTTCCTCGGTTCTCTAAGCTTTTACATTTGAACTAATTTTTATAGCATAATTTCTTATATTTTATCATTTCTTGTACATTATTATTTCACCACTAACTAATTTTATTTATAGATACTCTTACTTTTGATTCTCCGAGTACATCTTTTGTCATTCGTTTGATAATGTTTGTTACTTTATCCAAAATAGAAGTTGTTTTTTTCAAGAACATTCCAAATTTTAAAATCTTGAAGTTTACTCATAAAAATAATTTATCTTTTAGGCGCCCTTATCTTAATTTATCAGATTTAAATGAAAATATTACACTAAATAGGATGCAATGGAGAAAAGCCGACCCCACTTAGTGGGATAAAGGTTTTGTTGTTGTTTTTGTAGGCGCCATTATCTAATTTTATGACAATGATTCCCAATATTCTCTATTTTACAACTATTCTTCTTAAAATTCAAAATTAATAATCGATGTTGAGCACCTAAATTCTCACTTGAAATGATCTTACAATTGAAACATTCTCGAAGATCTCTTCTCATAAAAGAATAATCAGTTTGTATTTTTGATTCATTCTTGTAAGTAATAATATGCTCATATTTTTTTTTGAATAAAGTGTTAGCAATAACAAATTTATACGCGAAAATAAAATCTAATATGACTCTACCTTTGTCATCAATCACTCCAAAATTGTAGTTATCATGAATATTTCTAAAATCTTCTATGACTCTACTAACATATTTATTTAAGTCTCCTTTATAAAAATGCTTTCTCAGGAGGTATAATTAGTATTAAGTGTTCTAGGGCATTTCAAAATTTTACTTTAGAACATGTATCTAAACTTACTTGAGGAGTACGGGCACTTATAATATTAACAATGTTAATATCAACAATAATCTTGAGGCGTTAATTCTAACTCAAATTCTATTAATTTTTGCAACATTATCTTTCAAACTCTTATCTATAATTACACCCACATCATTTCTAGTGCGATTCTTACCTGAATTTCAAAGTTTTAAATGTAAATTATCAATCTTCTCAGCCTTTTTTCAAACACATTTAGTTTTTTGAATACATAAGATATTTATCTTTTTATAAATCATAATATCAGTTACTTCTATTAATTTACCTATGAGAGTACCTTTATTCCAAGATCATATCCTAATATTTGATTAATGGATTAACATTTTTACCCGCATCTATCCGTAATGTGGGAACCCCTACTTACTTGACATTACACCCGGGCGTCAGTCTAGCGACCTTTGCTTACTTTTAAGTGTGTTAAGGGATAATGAATAATATATTAAAATGTTTTCTTATCAGTGGAATTATATAAGGTTTTTTTCATAGGAGAGTTTAATGGGTTTCATCAAAGAGGCCTGATTTCCATGGGTAGGTTTATGGCATTTTTTTTCTAGGACATGGAGACACCATCTTTGTTGGTGTCAAACTTGATACCAACAAAATGTTTGCATTTTGTATTTTAGTGGCAAATGTCTCCTAAAGGTGCAGTTCAATTTCCTTAATAGCAGAAATATTATTTTTTTAAGAAGGTTGGTATCACCATGAATATCGTGTGATAGATGAAGATGGAGTGATCAATTATGTTACTTTATAAACCAACCCCAATAAGAGCATTGCAAATTCAATAAAACATGCACAAAGGCATTGTTTTGGATTTTTAAAGCTTGCATAATTTATTATCTTCTCCTTCTGATCAATATATTTGGGATGTTGCTTCAAAACGATGTACTGAAAAAGTCTCAATTTAATTCAATGTCATGCATTTTCTT